GCTTTTTGGCTTTTCAGTGAAAGTGAATTACTTAGCGAAGGTATTATGCGGAACTGCTGCTACTGCCCTCGCGCAGTTGAATTACGTTGTAAGCGCTTCGCATTAATATTCATTTCATCGGCTAATTGGATCTTTAACGTTAGTAGGTTATCGGTATTTCAAATCTATGTCGCATCGCATTGCTGAGATATCATCCGCGGCATGCTTTTTCATTTTGTATTTCATTCCAACTTCGTCATTCTTCGGTTATTTACATACTCAATTCAAGTTATTTAATGCACATTTCAACTAATTTACCAAATTGCTCGCATACGAACATATTACTTTTATACATGTAAGGATTTAAGAATAGAATTCATTCATCTGTCGCCTGTTAACGGAGTAACAGTCTACTCTTAAGTAGCTCCTCAAACAGTTTATTATATACAATTTTCAACCAAGCGTACCTTTTTGTGAATCAATAAATATACTGACTTTAGTTTGCAAGTTGTTTTGAATTTATTTTGCTATTAAATTTCAAAAAGAGGTAAAATGAATTCATCTTACGCATATGAAAAATACATAAATAGTTGCTACATCTCTTTTTTACAATCGTTTGTTTGCGTACGATTAAAAAATAGGAGTATCTACAAATGAGCACTCGGAGGAAGACAGTGAAATTTATTATAAACTCCACCCCACCACTAAAATTAAAGTTAAAGTCTCTTTGTTCCGAGGAAGAAGAATACACTGTATTAAAAGCTGAAATATTATTATTTGGGAAATTAATCGGTGAGATACAGAGTTACTTCAAATAAACAAGCTAGGCTTGAAAAAATTAAGCTGGAGCTGAAAATAGGGAATAATAAGTCTTAATCCAATTTAATTTATACTCCATCTTTTGCTAACATTACTAAATCAAAAGCAGTGAGAATTAATCGTAAACCATCGTTAATTATTATTAAACCAAAATATGAACAACAAAACGTTCAAATTTTAAAATCAGTTACAGATAATTTACTAACGAACATTATATTACCGAAAGAAAAAATAGTTGAAACTAGACATAGAACTGTAGTCATAAATTACACAAACAAAGAGGATGTTACCAACGTTAAGAATAAGTTGAGTGTAAAAATTGGTAGTGATTTCGAGATTCTGCAAGAAAAACCATTGGAGCCAAGACTAAAAATTTTCAATATCAGTAATAACTTGTCGAAAGAGGAACTGAAAAAAGATATTAACACAAAGACATTGAGATTTTGAAAACTATATACAATGTCCTCTTATAGAGCATTGCAAAATATAGCACTATAGCCTGGGGTGAAGCATATGGAAATGCATTAAATGCAATAAAAAAGACACAGATAAAATTGGTAAAAATTTAACTAAGCAGAGACATTAACATTGTAACATATAACGCTTTCTATAAGAGGATTTTTTCTACTTAAAATACTTAAAGTAAACTACATAGCATCATCGATGGAGTACACAAATTCAAGAAGTATTACAAAAAATAAAATTATCACGTCAGAATGTTGCTCTCAACATTTTCAGAATCTTAGACCAACAAATGAAAAATCTTAACATCAATAGTAAAAGATGTACATGAAAAGTTAAAAACTGGATCAAGAAAAACTCCAATCTGCTCCTGAAAATGGAACTGTTAAATAGATATGATCTACAAATGAGTAGCTAATGATCTGGTCTTTCTTGTACATATTTTTATTATTTGTATTTTATTATTTGTATTGTATTATGTGTATTCGTTCTCTGTTATCCTTGCTTTTTTTTATTATTTGTATTTACTATGTCGACTTGCAAACAGGTAACTTATTTACCTCTGCAAGAGAGTATGATTTTTATCTGTACTTTTTATGACAATAAATATTATTATTATTATTATTATTATTATTATTATTATTATTATTATTATTATTATTATTATTGTTATTGTTTTTATTATTATTATTAAATAAAAGTAAGAAATTGCAAACCTATAAAAATAGATGATAACAAATGTTGAGAATCTAAGATAATGAGAGGTTACACCCAATTACAGATTACCGTGAACTGTATTAAGACATTATTCCCACCCACAAACGAGAAGGATTTAATTGCCTTCGCAGGAGGACGTCATTATCAGGGCGGACTGCCATTATAGATAATACAAAAGAGGTGTATCTGTTCGAGAACAAAACGACGTTTTCGTCTTGTTTTCCCCCGCTGTCGATTTGTTTTACCAACTCAATTAATCGCTAATTGATCGCGCTCGACGAGAAGCTTGCACGTAATGCTTTATGCGATGATTTGCATGGGATTAGCTTCTTTCTTCTCTTCTGTTTCGAGCAACTTGGAAAAGATTTGTATTTGTTTTAAGTAACTGATCGTAATGAAAAATGGTTTCACTTTCTAGAAAAAACTAAATTTCAGCGCGATTATTTTTAGCAAGGAAAAATTAGAATAATTGTTGACGAAGTTTCTTCGACGCCTCGCACAATAAAATACTCGCATCAATTTCATGTAGACAATGCCAAACGCAGCGCCCGTGGAATAAAAAATGAAAGTTAGAGACAAAGAAAGAAAACAAGGGGTAAAAAAATAGTTTGAAGAAAAGTATTGAGGTTTTTATCTGGACTTATAGTTTGAACGATTAATTACCGCGACTTTCTCATCCGTCGTTATCGGGAATTCCTTGAAATTACCCTCCTTCTGCGGTATAGCATTATAATCGATAAATCTGCATCTATCCGGCGCTCTCGCATTGTATAAAATGTCTCTGAGCGCGGGCAAACGGGTACGTAACGCGAATGGCCCATAAGATTTGTTGTACAAAAAAACAACCGAATATTTCGTTATCATGCTATAATAAGTTGTTAAAACAAGTTTCCTCCAACTATCAATTTACTCTACAGTATGAAAAAAACATACAATTTTGCAATTTTTGCAAAAACAGCAAAAATAAAGTAAAAGTGACAAGTCCTCTTTAATAGGCTGGGAGGAAGAGAGAGAACAAGGTACACAAAGAGGTTTGGATTTAGCGTAGAATTACGATTCTTCCACCCCCAGAGGTATAAAAATCAGCCTAATTTTAATGTTTTAATTACTCAAATCTAATGGGGTACGAGTAAGGATAAAAGTACAAGATGATGTACTGCGGGGAATGTGAATTTATGAGTTTGCAGAACAATTTTTAAAATGTTACTGTTGATTACGAAACTGAGAAGTAAAGTTAATCGTGATTGAATGATCTTTTACGTTTTTAGTCTCATTTGTGCTCACCAGAGGGTGTCGAATATTATACAATCGAAAATAAAAGTATTATAAAATATATTCTTAGAGTCAGTATATTTTTTATTATCGCCTTTGATAATATATACATACTCATGTTCTTGAATATACCATCTGCAACACTACTACTTTTGTTTTTCATTTAAATAATTGCAACAATTTATTCAAAATAAAGAAATCGATAACATACATATAATATTGTATGTATCACAAAGACAATGTTACAAAGTGTGTCGTCAAGTAGAATACATAGTGATGTATACTTTAAACAGATATGATTTATTTAAAAAGTTCTGAAACAGTATAACTGATGGTGAAATATGAAGCATAGAAAAAGAAAAAAGAAAATACAAATAGCTAAAAACTTAAGATTTAATTAAATATGTGAAAATCACGTTATTTACTAAAACACTGTAAACTAAATAAAGTAAGCTCGAAAAACTAAATGATTGAAAGCAGTTTTAAAAAACTAATTTTCAAAGAAGCGTCTAGCAGGTTAATAAAGTTTCACCGGCGCCACCAACAGTGCAACATAATTGATTTCCACATTGCACTATGACCTACACCTAGTTTTCTTGTTCGCTATATTACACGATGATAAGTTGAGCGGTGCGCTATATTTCTTTTGCCAGTATTGAGCTTTCTCTTGGTTCACTTCTAAATGAGCTGAAGCTCGATAATTAGAGTCGACTGCATTATATGTGCAGCTGCTGCAAATCACACATGTATAGGTTAAAACAATACCTAGTCATTCTCGTTTGTCACCAACTTTCTCTTAATTATTATATATTGAATTATATTTCAGCATATAGACTTCCATCATTGATGAATTATTAATATCATCGTTTAGAAAAAACCACGATAATTTTATTCTCATGGCTAATTTCACATGTTATCTATTGATATTTATGGCATTTATAATTGTAATTTTTAGTCGCTCTATCAATTGATCGAACACGCCGATAGAGCGTTTTTGTCGTCACCGGCTTTGTCTTCTGCACAAGACAATACGAAAAAAAACAATCTCTTCTTTTTCTTAACTTTGTACGTATTCCCTCTCTCTCTTTCTCTCTATTTCTCTCTCATCGATTTGTCTTCTCTATAAACACGTATTGCATAAGAAATTGTGAGAACACGGTATACAGCAATAGACGCAGTGAGAAAATCACGCATGTTCGCGTTATAAAAAATGTCACTTAAGTCGTCGACAAGGATATCTGTTCTTTCTTCTTTCACAGTTTATAAGGTGAAATTCTCGCCCACGCAACGGTGCAGATGGATACAAAGCACGTTGAGATTTTAACGATCCTAACGTTTTTTCACATATTTTGGAAATCCGATAAAGAGCTTCTTGGAAATTTAGTTGGAAACATCAGTTGCATAATGATCAAAATAAAATAAGCCTTGTCATATTCCAAAAAGTTCTAGCATTGGGACAATTCGATTTTTTGATAAACCTAGTTGATAATTTCTAACAAGTCTTATTGGATTTGTTTTTAATCAGTGAATTTGAAAAAATGCATTTTTGACAGCTCACTTTCTCTCTCTGAACTATAAACTATCAGAGTCCGAAAATGTTAAACATGCGATAGCGCAATGTTTCTCGCGTGAAAAGGTATATATTCCTCTCGTGCTTGCAAAGGTTCAGCTCTCGACTCTCAACTAACAGTAAATACTCGAAGAGGAAAACTTGTCAAAGCTAGCCGAGCTAAAGGCGATGAAACACTCACCTGATAGTTGTCGTTCGGACTGCGAACGGGGCTGCTGTCGGCTCTGAAACAGAATTTTATTTGACTCATTAAAACTGACTTCTGCGGGATACGATAGGTGCTCTCTTTTAAGGAGATTATTTTGAGAATTATAAATAAAGCTTCAGTTAATCTGTAGTAGTGATGAAATACAAAGTTATTATTTTTTCAATACTCATCAAAACAAATGAAAATAATTAGAATTGTATGGAAGCCTTTGAAAAAATTAAGCTTTGAAAATGAATGACAATGCATAGATCACAGCTGGAAATATAAAAAAAATTTTGAGACATTTGAATCGTGAGAAAAGCGTTAAAATAACAGCGAAACCTAATCTATTCTCGTCGTTGATATCCCGTTAAAGCACGCCGGCATACTACTTCACTCGTCGATCAATAATAAAATACACCAATAGACGAAAAAGATAGCTTGGCTCTGGCCGAAGGCATCGAGATTTACAGTGCAAATACAGCCCACTTTTGCAAAATTGAATAGCTATGATCTCTTCTCTTTTGGCGCAGAGTGAGCGACGCATCGATATTATTCTAAAGGGCTTATCTAAATAGCCAGTCAACGACTGATTTATTGTCCCGAAAATATCGGCTGCGAGCTGCCACATGGTTTAGATTGAAAATAACGTAGGGTATGTGCTCGCACGCACTTGACCATTCCTGTACATATTTGGCGCGGTTATACGGCAAATATTTACATGTGTTGAGATACGAGCTGAGCTTTTTGATGCTTTCTTCTTCTTCGCGCTATCGCATAACGGCTCGAGAAACAGCCAATGATTACTATTCACAAGTTGCTTTGGCCAAACAAGTTATTTGAGTAGAGCTACGATCTAATGTAGATCGATCGACAAATCAACTACCACGGGATTTATGCGCTTACAAATGCTTCCCGCGCTTCGGACACACGCGTCAATTTTATTAAGCAATTTTCATTTTTCATATTTAAGATTACCTAGTCTTGCTGCTATATCATATTCAATGGCGCCATGTATAGACAATCAGAGCATGTTTCATTTTGTTTTATTGCGTATAGCAGATATCCAAAGTCAACATAAACATTAATATTAAAGAAACCAATTAACGATCACATCTTACCAGTTTTACGCGGCAAAGTTTATTTACAAAAAATAAAGCGAGGATGACGCAACATAGCGTCTCTTACAATCTTCCGAGCACTCCAAGTCGTCGACGACAATTCGATTGATCAAAAGGATTACGTCACGACACTGGGTATATATATATTTAAGTCAGAAGCAATCGGCTAGTACTCTTTGGACCTCGATCCGATCGCAATTATTGCGCCTTTCTGCAGGTCGATACATTTTCTGTTCGTTCGAAAAGTTGGTTGGTTGGTGACGTACACTCTCACGTCATTGCTTCATACTACGTAGGTAGCAGGTTGCGAGCCACAAGTTTGCGCTGTTATTGCGCGCGTTCTCGCTATTTTCTCAGATGCAGCAAGTGATTTCTTGCAAGATTAAAGCTTTAGATAAGCTGGAATAAATACTTTCATCGTGCTCCCCCATGCACACTTTACCAGGGGTTGTTTGGCTTGGCTTGACTTCGAGAATTGCGTGATTTCTATCGACATTTTTTGACTCTCTTCAATCCAATTGTAGCTGATGCTTCTTTTATGTTTTTTTTTTATGAGATCGAGGTGCTTTGTTTTGTATACCTGCTTGCGGCTGTACACGGTTTGACAATGTCCACAGTTTTTACGACAAATTTCTTTTTTTATTGGTATGTTGAAAGTTAGACATTTGAAAATAAATATTGTTGAAAACGCCAAAACTTGTAATTTCTACGCGGGTTGATGATGTGCGATATGGGTACGCATAGAGCGTATGCTAGGTCGGATGGCTGGCAAGCGGCAAGTGCGAAGAAGAGCCGACAGATTTGCTACACAGCGTAGCAGCCGATGAACAGCTAATCGTTCATGATCGTTAATCCATTCAGGCAAGTCGCTTTTTCTAAAACTTGAATATTGTGTTACTCTATCGTGTTGTTTCATCTTAAGATATCTTTATAACCTTTACTTTCGCGTTCATCATACTTATCTAATATTGTTTCGTGCGTAATTTTATTCTTGTGTGAATTCGTTGTAAATTTAATTAACTTGAAGTTTGTCTTTCAATTTTTCCTTGAATATTCAAGTTTCTTACGTCGGTTATTTAGTTCAATTTTCGCTTAACATCTTCTTATAATTATATGATTTGGTAATGTACTTGTTTTGATTTTATTAAAATTAGAGTCCGCCTAATCTGTGTTTAAAATTAACTTAAACTCATACCTTTAATAAATACGATATCATTACGCATAGAAATTTTTGTTTATAATTTCAGTTGGACCCTAGGTTGCCAAGGGCGATTCTTTATTTATGTGATAGAATATGAAACAATTATTAAATAAAATGGCATAGACAGGGTGTTGATCATAATAATTTTCATAAAATCTAGTAATAAAATGTTTTCCCATAATCTAAAATGAAAATTGCCCTTCCAAAGAGCACCTAGGATTTAACGACATGTTATATGATTAATTGTTCGTGTTTATTCACAAAACAATTGCTCACTAAAAGCATAAACGTCTTCCTGAATCACTTATGTTCTGTATAATTTCTCAAATATATACAATAAAATAAAGAATTGAAAAAAAGCTGTAGGTGTTTATATTTTTTCCAAAAAAACTCACCGCGTCAACCCTTATGGCCAAGCAAAAAATTCAGCAGCACCACTCACAAAGTGAAACGGGCGACAGAGCGTCTACCATATGAGGGTCGTTGTGTCTGATCATCCGATAAATCGGCGCGAAGCACACACTCGAGCGCACGCTTCAGCTTTGACTGTTCGCTCACGTGAACATCTCTCTCTCTCTCTCTCTCTCTCTCTCTCTCTCTCTCTCTCTCTCTCTCTCTCTCTCTCTCTCTCTCTCTCTTTCTCTCTCGATTTCCCGCATCCTATTGATAATTTTATACCCTCGCTGAGGTAGTTCACTTTTTTCCTCTCTGCATGCATGGACTAGGGTAAGGACCGACGAAGTTGATAGCGCGCCTAAAGACGCGTAATATAGAACGGATTATGCATTGCCTAGTTTTATGATATAGCTTGTTGAAGGATTTTATCATATAAAAGTTTTTTAAAACATTACGCTTTGAAATGTCACACGGTGGACCTTTTCCAATAGTCAACCTAAAATTCGTATTTTCAATGAATCCATATGTACTTGGCAATCCTTCGAATTAAAAAATATAAAATTACGAATTACAGCGATAAACTGTTTTACACAAGTTTCCTTAGAAATTGACATTTCTACTCAATTTTTACGATCTATCAGGAATCATCATCACGAATTTGGTTACAGTTTGGTCATATTTTAATGCATTTTCTTTGGATATTCTACATAGTTTGTATACTCTCCGCGCTTTCAATTAAATTAAGTAAATTCGCATGTGAAATGGTAACGCAAATAAAATTAGTTGATAGTAATTTTCTCACGAGATAAAAAGCCGCTGCGTATAATTGAATGAGCGCGTGCTCGTTGCAAGGACATAACTTCTACATGTTGAAGATTAATTTCCAAGCGAGGGAAAGTATCGAATAAAGAAATAAATGTGCAGGACATGTTAATACAACCGCAATAAAAAAATAAAATAAAGATAAAAAGGAAAATTTAACGAGATGAGAGAGAGAGAGAGAGAGAGAGAGAGAGAGAGAGAGAATAAGAAAAAGCAAGGACGGGAAAACTGCTGGGATAATCGAACTGAGCGTGCAGCACAAAGCGGTTGAATAAAAACAGAAAGAGATTTTGCCCTTGACTAAGGAAGAAAAGCAGAACTAGGGAGGCTACCTGCTAGCTTTGGAATAACAAGAGAAAGCCGGTCACGGAGTGCTGCGAAGCTTACGCGCTTGAGTTAGCGAGCTTTTCGCACCAAAGGCTACCGAAATTCTAAAATGGCCTTGAAGCTTGAGTCAACGCGGAAATTCATCAACGGTCAACGATTTACTCGGGAATTTTATTGATACTTTCTCCTATTTGTTCTTCTTTTTATTACTATTATCTGTGTTCGAATTATTCGGATGAAATCGAATTAAAGTATTTATTTTATTTTGTTGCCTTTTAAGAAACTCTCGAATTTGATTTTAATTTTTATTTCAATTCAAATGTGACAAAAAAAGATTCTAGTAACTACAAAGACGCCATAAAAAGTTTAAATAACTGTGAACCAATAAGTGTTGATGTTTGTCATTTAGTCAAATTTGTGCATCGCAAATAATCGGTATTAAATTACGTTTAAACAAATTGTTTGCAAATTTAAAAAGTAAATTGTAATTTTTTTTGTATTAAAAGCTATCGACTACTACTAAAATGAATATATTATATATAGAAAATGAAGATGACGATTTCGTTATCGAAAGTAATATAATACCACAGTGTGAATGCATCGAGTACTTTATGGATCAGAAGAATGCAGTTTTACCATGTGCTATGTGTGCGTCTACGGGTGATACCTTATTGCTTGTATTGCACAACAACCCCGTTTAAATTTAGAGTCACTCATACGAGCATGAAAGAAATTATCCATTATACGGAGTGATATTGTAAACCGGTGTATGGGATGATTTTATTTTTTGCAAGTGTAATATAAGAGATAACAAAGAAAACAAAGCGTAACATAAGAGATAACAATGTTTTTATTACATATTTATTCCAATTGATAAAGGTATAAGTGTAAGGCCCACATAAAAACTTTATCGGAGGATTTTTCTTTTTCCTTTTTTTAATACATGATAGTACGCCCTACTTCCGATAAATTATAACTATATAACTGACATTTACTTGAAACATTGAAAGAATTTAAAAAATTGAAATAAAAATATCTGATTACTACAACATCTAGAATCTCATATGCTTTTCATAATAAAATTCCAGACGATTATGTGTGCGCAAGGCCTGTTTCCTGGCTAGAAGCCAATTATTCGCGTGCGCGGTTAAATCGAACAAGACAAAACGAGTGCAATCGCACAAGAGCCATCAATAACTAATGACATCGATACATTCCGAAGCACGTTGACCAGCTGTGTACTGATTAATGCTGCCGCGTATATGTTGTTATATGCGTTGCTGTCATTTCTTTGAAAATGTTGCAAAGTGTGATCTGCGATTAACGAACTATTCATATGAACGCTTCTCAATTTATGTTTGATTTTTTGCTATTGTCTGCTTTGGGAAACTTCTGACGTGTACTAATGGATTAGATTTTGACGTGATTTGAAAGGGCGTTACATGGTCATATATATATCACAGGCTGATAATATATTTATTTGTATGTAACTAAAGTTTACTCACTCACTACTACTTATGTATTTGTCTACAAAAAAATTCTAGATTTTTCTAAAAAGAATAGCCAACAACGGTAAAGTATTAAAATGAAACTACTTACAGTCTCCTCGTAGGCGCCAATGTCAACAACGCCAGCATTATTATCCAGAAAAGGCGCGCTGTTACTCTTACTTGCATACTCCACATTGAGTGGTTGCAAGCTCACCGCCAGAGGCGTAGAAGGCCCACGAGGTGGTGTACAGGTAACAAGTTCACTGGAACTCAGCGAGCTACTAGCAGTAGTCGAGAGTGGCGCTGCTGCACAGAAGTAGGATTGGACGTGAGAGGTTTCAGTACGCAGCGAGCTAAGTGGATTGTTTGCTTTCAATAGACCACGCTTTCCCCTTGCAAAATTTGCTTTTCAAATCGTCAATGAGCGAGAATCGCTTTCGTGCGAGCGTTTTAATATCGATATCAGTTGACGCGCACGTTGAGTCCGGCACCTCGTATATAAAAAGAAAAGCTTTGTGCGACGAGATCAGCTTGCGACGTTGTCTTTTGTGTAAAACACGTACTTGACGTATTTACGTCAAAGATTGGCTAGATGGATGATCCGTTAGCAGAAGCTAAAAATAGACGGAAAGAACGAAGCTATCACAAGTCTTTTTATTATTTATTATTATGAAGACGGACGACCGTAGCCCAGGTAGATGAAATACACGTAAATGATATACGAAATGACAACAGAATGCTGCCCCTGAGGCTACGAAACAACGCGCGATGAATCCTGCCACAGCAAGTTTGCTCGGACCATAAAGTATCACTCACCGAGTGGTAGATCACTAGGTCTAGCGGTCTTTGCTCTTGGCAACGAATCGTCTAATCCACTGCTGCTGTCGACTGCCTCAAGAGAATTAGCTTGAGCTGGTGACGCTGTCGTCTCGTCTGTTGTCTGCGTGTGAACGCTTTCACGTTTGACCCACACGTTGCTTCCCCAATCGTGAGGCTGTTGTGACGAGCTGCTGGCCAATTTCGAAGGTCGACGACGTATTCTCTCCCACGTCTCTTTGCGGTGACACTTGCCTGCTGACGGCGGGCTATTTGTGGATACGGATGGCAGGGCTATGCAAATGTAATATATATTTATTTGTTTACTTTTGGTAGAAAGTGGTGGCTTTATATAAAATGTTTTCTTACGAAAATTTTTTTCTGATTGTTAATAAAATTATAATGCGAGCATTAATTGATCAGATTATCAATATTTGCGTATTTCAATGTTTGTAAATATGCATTTTAATTATATCACGACTCATCGGCTAACTTAATTGTACAATTCTCAAATATATGGCCTGCTTTTACTTTTCAGATTTTACATCACAGTGGAATTGAGTCAGCAACATAAAATCGGATATATTTATTTCACAATAGCTTCAAACATTTGCAAAGGATGAAATTTTTACATAAAGTTTCCTTATTCAATTTCTAGCCAAGTAGCGTTGGCTGTAAACTATCATGCACCGAGCGGATCTAATAAATATCCGACACTTGTCAATCAACTCACGTTTGGCAAGTCTTCGGTCAGTGCTCCTCGGAGGACTAGCGGTTCCAATGCCACTTTCAAGGGGAGAGGCACGGTCAGTAGCATCCGGTGACAAACTGCCGGATGAAATCTCGTCCATACTCTGTAGTAAATCCTGTGACGACGAAGACGATCTGTTGTCGTCGTCAACGGTATTTTGTGGGGATGTTGGATTGAGAATCGTTTCGTCTTGCAATGATCTCACAAACACATCTCCGTTCAATTCTTCAGACATAGTTTGAAGTTGAATTATTGAATAGAATTTTGATCAAGATGAATTTCATTAAATGTTGCCTTACCTTGATGAGGAGATTCACAATCGCTGACCCACGTGAAACTCGAGCTTCGAGATATAGCGGGTGACGTCTGTGTGGCCATGTCCACACAGGCTAAACTTTCCGCGGGTGGACTGCTCGAGCAGCAAGAGCCGTTGCTTTTCGTTAGGCGAGAGAGTAATGATTGCAGTGATATTGGTAACTGAAATAATAAGCATTTATTATTGAAAATAGCAGAATCCTATATCGAAAAAAAATTATGCTTGCAAATTACTTTTTCTTTTTCTAAAAGTCATTGAGATTCTTAAAATTTTCCACTGTTTATTAAATGATATGGACGCTTTCCAGCGCTACGTACATTTATTTACCAAAGCAACAAAGTTCGCGACTCTATAGCCACCAAAAATATTCTCAATCAAACAGAATAACGTCAGGCGTTCATAATATTTACTCACCGAGCCTGATCTGGTATTTCCGTCTGCAAGACTGACGATTGCTTTCAGGTGTCCATTGCTTGTGACAATAGTACCAGGTAAATCGCAACCGACAGCAACGTCGTTAGCATTAAATCTTTTTAATTCAATAGAGCTAATTCTTGTAACATCTTTGTCAGATTCGGATAATCTCTTAGCACTGGCATCTGAACGTAAACTCAGGATTGGAGACATCGATCGATTCTTTTTCGATACTTCGTTGTTCGAGGAAGACTTGTTCACACTTGCTTTCCTATCGTTCGACAAATTGACGAGGTCTTGATCAGGTAATGAAGACACGCGAACCAGAACAGCATCGGCCGATGTGTCTCTGTAAATCGGCGTGTGTTTGTGTTTACGTAAAAGTCGCGAAAAAGGCGTACGCTTGACTTCAGTCGGTGTGCTTGGTGCAGAACTGGGTTTATTATGATTATCCAGCGACTTGGATCTGCAACCGATGACTTCGTAAGTGAGCTGATCGCGGATTTCTTCGTAATCCGGTTCGTTGATTTTCAATTTCACAATCTTCCCGTAATGACTGGTCCTCTTCTGTCCAAACAGACCGTTGCTCGGTAAACTAGCTTTTCGTCGAGAATCGCCTGGAAACGGCGGTAATTGTGCTCCTGCATCATCTGCTTTCGTCTTAGCAACCACCTTCAACATTCTGTTTGATCTTGGCATTGGATCAGTCGATGGTGCCTTATGTGTACAGATCTTTGGTGAGTCGAAAGTTGGCTCGTCGTAGACACTGTGCCTCAATTGATCACGTGGCTCGTCGTAGTCAGAATTCAACGTCATCTTCGTGGCGTTTTTCTCTTTCGTGAGCTCTTCAATCTCATTGGCAATGATACTATTGAATTCCGCCAGGTAATCATCGACAATTGGACGTGTCGGCTGCGACGACATCTCAACGTTTCGTTTACGTGAGCGACGTATGCTGCTGCCTCGACTGTCGGCGTTTCCATTAACGAGGCATGATCGCGGCACCGACTCTATGATTTCACCGATCTCCTCCTGAAAATAAAGTCGGCTGTATTTATAGCGAGAACTTTGTTAGCGGTGGGGATCAATGCGGGAGGTTCATTTTTATCCTTTATTTAATTTTGCAATTAATTAAGAAATTTATTCTTTTTATTCTCAACTTCTACTATGTTTGGACAGTAGAAATGAAGTCCTAAAAAGTCCTACTCATTTTTATGGGAAGCTGTAATTTTCGTTATTTTTCGCTAGTTGATTTTTTTTTTCCGTAACCTTGGACATCCAACTCAATTTCATTTGCATAAAAGAGCTTAACGGGTATAATCCGAGTGCAACTCCGTAAAAGAGGGTTACGTACTCGTATTTGATGTGTTTTGCGTGTGGAACAGTTGTCGGAATATTTAAAGTCAGACTTTTACAATGATTTAAAATCATTTTTATGAAATGGGAAAAAGTCAATGCAGAAGCACTATTTCTAAAAATATTTGTTTTCTTCACACTCGCATAGAATGTTAAGTAATTGACACGATCTTTTGTCTCGTTTCTTATGGATTTCGGCAAAAAATCTCTGTCGTATAGAAATTGAACTAAATCTTTACTTGATATTATTAAATTACTTTACTCACGTGAGATATTATAATTGTTACTAATATTTAGCATGTACCAAGTTAATTTTTTTATTTATACATTAACGCTATAAATCACAGTGCATCTCGTATTTCAATTACCCATGCCAAACCATCGAAATGAGTATGAAAAGGGTCTACGATATAATTGCTCGGTACTTGTGCGTAAAATTAGTCGTGGAGGAAGGTCGATTGGCACACGCTATGGTCCGATCAATTTAGCATTCAATCCCCAGTTTCCCAGCAGTCGTCCATTTGTCCATTACCTCTCAGGCTAAGTTTTGAGCGCGTGAATCGATAAGTATTCCACGTCGTACATTTGCTAATTTGAATGGACCGATTACGAGCATAAGGTCAGAGAGTGGAACTCAGTTTATGATTCAATTTAGCAAATAGATTTACTTGAAGATGTATTTGTTGTGTGAGATTCGTACTTGTATAGGTTGGATCCTAATTAGTTTATGTACGAGTTGGATTTCTACTTTGTTTATGTATTCGCGAAGCCGTATATTATTTGTTGTGCAATTAACGAATTTATTATTAACGATTAATTTAATGAAATAATCGCGCTTTGGTCGTAAAAATAATATTTTCTTCAATACACTGTCAAAACAACTTTTTGCTTTTGTTCTCCACAAACGATAAAAGTTGTTATATCCTGTACAGCCTTTCGTTCATGACCCTAAGCAATTATTAGTGACGCCCATAATCCATAAATCTCGAAAGCGATTTCTCTCACTCTGCACGTGACAGTCGAAAAAAGAAAAGATCAGTTGCGTGGTTGCGGTAGTATTATCGGCGCGTTGCGCGATTAGAAACGTGTAGCTGGCGCGCAAACTGTTATTACTTGCAAGGTAGCATGTCGAGATACAAAGCTACATGATTGATTGCGCTACGAGCATCAGCATAATCGAGATTAGCTGCCACCGTCTTGTCGGGATGAGTCGCTTGATAAAGACGTTGGCTCGTTTCGCGTCGCGTTATTGCATTACCGCGAGAGAGAAAGATATATTTTCATGAGTTCAGAGGTTGTTATTTAGCTCGTCGTGGAAAAAAGAATTTTTTTTTCAGATGAAATATACTAATAATTACTTTGTCACCTACCGCTGTTGAAAATGTGTATTTCATTGATATTTTTAAATCATATGGTCTGGTAATTTCCAGTGATTACGATATCCTCGGATTATTATTAGATTCGTAATGTTCATAAAGTTATTCATTGATAATAATTGAAAGAAAAGTACGGGTATGAGTTTAAACTTCAATCGTTGCATCTACTTATTAACAATTTTTTCTTGGCAACTCATTAATTTTTTACGAGAACATTTTAATAGAAAAATTCCATTCAGCTCGCAAAGAATCCAACGTCAATCTAAAAAAAGGTGATTTACATTATCTTGCTAATATGACCTTATTTAAAGTTGAAAAAAAGAGTGGCGCCTAGTTAATACTCGCAAGCCATAAATTATTAACTTCTCTAATGTGTCTAACGAAAGCAATCGATCTTATAGATCAGCGAATGGCCGATATCTTTTTCGCTCTCTTCATTGTGTCATGCCGATAGACTCGCTCGAGGCGCGCTAAGTCATTCCAATACACCCACGACAATTCAGTAGTAGGACTCACATTTAGCAGAGAAAAAAGCCATTCTATCGAAGCTAAATTGACAACGATTTGACAGTTCGGAGCACGAATTCGTCATTGGTAATTGTCCATGAAAATAATCAGAGACAGAGACCCATTTAACTTTAATCGATTACTATGGCCAGCTGTGAAATTGAAATTTCACAGTGATCCAGTGAGTAACGAGTTTGCCACGCGATCGCGGCATTGGCATCGATGCATACATTGATACGCATTCCGAAACTAAGAAAGCTTCAGCAGAAATATATATGAAATGTTCAGTGGAACATACAAGTTTTTGCAGTTCCGAGAGAGAGAGAGAGAGAGAGAGAGAGAGAGAGAGAGAGAGAGAGATAGAGAGATAGAGAAAAACGATTATTTGCTGTATAGCGGCGAAAATTGAAAAATTAATAAACGATGCAGAAAAAACAAGACGGAGGGGAAAAATAGGCACACAGCTCTCATTCAACAGCAAGCCTAATTTACGCATCGACCTTCGCAACACGGTATATATATCGGCATGGTATCATAATCATACGTAGCTGTATCATTAATTTTAAGCGAGAAATAATAAATTGTTTACATCATGAGTAAAGCAAGTGATTGTTTTTTAATTTGGCATGTGCAAGGATTTGTCATATACATTGTATAGCTTGTTCGTATATCGTCGAAAAATAAAAATTGCATAATATTGGCTGTCGATATATTTATCTTTGAAAAATTTGAAAAAACGTAATCACAAACAGAAAGAAATTTCCCAGATTTTATCAGCAAAACGCACGCAACTTGGAGTGCAAAAATTTTTCTCATTCACTGTCAATCAGATTCAATCTAACTTTCTAGCGTCAAGCAACATTATTGTTTTCTCACACTCGCATCTAATCTCCGTATCTCGACTTTATACACGACGTCGGACGAATATAGACGCCGATGGTTCATTAGTTGGTTACCGGTAAAATTCAATCACAGCATACGCGAGTTAATTGCATCGCGCGCGGAAGCACAGATCCTTTCTCTCTTATAGAAGCAGAAGCGTTGATTTTCTTGCCTCAGGGATTGATGATTTATTGTCGGCAGCAGTCTGTAAGAGAGAGGGAGAGAGCGATGACCGCTCTCTCCCGTTAATGCCTCTGAGCTTGCGTTTTCGCAACGATAGATCCACTTTTCTAGGGCATCACGGCAGCACGAAATTCGTTAAGTATTAATTATTATCTCTCGGGAGATTTCCCATTGTTGTTCAGAGCGGTGTACGGGTTTTGACAAGGTATTCTCGTAAATTTTCATGATATCGTTATAATAGGTTTTTATAAGCTTTACCGAGTAATTTGCAATATCGAAGTCTATATGAAAAGTTCCTAGCAACCGTACAAGTTTTTTCAATGAAATTAAGAGCAAACTCTCGAACAGTCAACTTTTGAAGGCCGTTAAGCAAGTTAAAAATTTACTCGTGCGCTTTGCAACAGCACAACAATGTAGCATTGTGAACAGACACAAGGTTATCGCCGTGGCAGTGAATGCAAAAGCTTGAACAGCTGTAAAACAGAGACAAAAGGATCATCCGGAACTCGTTGTCCTCAGTATATTCTCGCAAAAGTGGGCCATTGGCGTGCGGCGCAGAAACCTTCTGTCGACAAAAGCTAAACTGCACCCATCTCTCGACGCTCACAGCCACATATGAAATTTTGTAATTTCGTGAAATTGCCGGATTAATTGTTGAGCTTGCAGAGAGATCGTTACTTAATTTAATATTAACTGCGACACACTGCTCTCGTAGCTTCGACTACTGATTGGACTGGTAAAATATTAAAAAGTTACGATGCGCTTACTCTGCGGGCACTGCTACGTATTGAGCTTCATACTCGGAATATAAAACACAAAGACATAGTTGAAAATTGCCCACTCCTCAGTAAATCATGCGACGAAAGAAACTACGACTTATCGGCACTTTGGTGAGCGATTGTCATTAGCCATGTTTTTCGCACTTGTGCACGCAACAATCATTCATGCTCTCGGCACGTATACATACGCTCGCGCATAATTGAAAGCTATGAAATAGAGCGTTATTATCCGTCATTAAATTGAATTTCAGAGAAGTAATCCCCGAGTATTAGCGGTTATTCAAGAGAGATGTTTTGGCTCGAGGCGCGATTCTCTTGCTTTGATGCATCGTTTTCACACGTCAGACTATTTATACAAATTGATAGTATTTTACGTTGGCCAACGTTCAGCATAGGTGAGTCCTGTGACAATTAGGATATCAAAAATAATAACGATATTGCAACGTAGAAAGATTTTCCTTAAAGCCTAATCGATTGCTGTCAACAGTCCAATTTCCGAAATAGTCCGGTTTGAACAGTGCTTGCAAGCGTTATCCGGCGAATTTCAAAGCACAGTTGCTCTTCGATCACTTTTGCCGTTGACGTTGGCAACAACAAGGAATGCCGATGGTGACCTGTTATCTTACGCAACAGAAATTACATTACGCAAAATATTCGTGCAAGTTAAAGCTTGAAATTAAACTATTGATTTGCAATTCACATACAGAACAGAAATAATTTTTGAAACAAAGTCGATTACATAAACGACCTTCGGATGAAATATAAATAGTGAAATAAAATAAGCAATGAATTTCTACGTGAAAATGTCAATTGCATTTGTTTGAATAATCTACCGTATTACACCGCGGGACCTGCACCGAGTCACGAGGTGGAAAAAGAAACAATCGATTATTTGCCCTTCATATGCACCGTCCCTTCTTGCCATCTCGCATGCGTGCAACGATGTGCAAATGTTTGTTTGAACTTCCAGTCTAGTGCGTCGCATATTTTTTTGAAAGTCGTAGAATATGCGTCACGTATCTAAAACTTATGGATTTTTTAACATGCAGATTTATTTTACATCCGAGCGATTACGCTCATGGATAACTTGGATGAATTTTTCATGAAATGCACAAAGCATTGATGAACAATTTTTAATGTCTATCTAAAAAACCTTTTCTTCTTCACTTTATCAATTAAATCGTAAAAATTATTACAAATCTACATAGTTTTGTAAAATTATCGTAGCATTTCCATTTGTCGATTTGCCTTTAACTTTACTGAATATTGATTGGAGGAATCGTTGCAAATAGAAAATGAAGAGATCTAAGGATTTACAAAGATGTAAGCCGTAATGTGTTAAATTATTTAGCGACTTTGCGGAAGGTGATCTTCGCACCAGTGAAAGATACTTTATTGAGACGATTAAAGCCTGAATAAGCTGTCAGCCAAACGAAAAACAAGTATTGGTACGCTCGTGCGAGTAAATGATTTGATGTACTCATGCCAAGCGTCATACACTTTTAGATGTTTTTAAATAAAAGTTTACAGTCCAAGGAACCAAGAAACAATTCGGTTTGTCCTTTCAAAATATATCATTGACGATAGTCACAATTTATAGATCAAACGAAGCTGTTTGTAATTCCATCTTCAGAAGCCGAATAAGCGGAATGCAAAAAGATAAAATTCGATGAAAGAAAAAAATTATTATATGTTTGTATTAAAAAGCCTGATGCGCATTCTAATCATGTACACCTCGATGCAAATTGAAATGGAAATCGGAAAATCTGTTTGCGATCAGATAAACTTAATTAACGCGTGATATTTCACGAGTACGTAGATAGCCAAACTGTTTGATATTCAAATTATGCCATAATGCCCACTGCGAATAAATTCATTTGAAAGCTAAAAGGCGATGTATCCGCAGACTAGGATTTTGATCGCAGTCCGTTATAAAACAAGTACTGGTGAGATGTTTTGAAATATGTGCACAAAATAATTACACACAGCTGATCCTTTAATGCAGCAAAAACTATGAAAAATTACAGTGATTTTGAAATACAT